GCTGTTGTCTAGATTTTATTCCGTGTGGCCTTTGATTTGTCGTCCTGTTTAGATGGCAGGCACATAGTGTGAAGTCACCATGCTAGATTTGAAGAATAAATCAGAATTCATCAAAGATTTTGAGTTAGAGGGAACTTCTCTCATTACAATTAATAGAATTTTAGCAATAAGGCAATCAATCTTTGCTGTTGTAGCACGTCGTGTCAGAATGCGATCTTATGAGGACTTCAGAACTCGGACAGTCAACTGCCAAACATTATTTTTGTCGAACGATACTTGGAAATTTGTTGAAGCCAGGCGATACGGTGTTGGGGTATAAATTTTTATTAAATTTCTTTTTTACAGTTCTTAATATTAGGCTGGATTTCACATGCCGCAATATCAGCAACGATCATTTTGAAGAACTGCGGCCAGAAGGCGTGCCAGACGTGGTATAGGGCTAACAGTTTTCTCTTGCCTTTGCTTATATTTATTGACCTAAGTTTGTTGCAGATACTTGTTAAAAAGGCTTATAACCGCAAACTTGCTCGTCTTGGACGAGTGTGGAAACTGAAGCACTTGCAGACAGATGTGGGTTTTACGGGATCAATGACAGAGTGATGACGAACCGTTATTTGTACACGCCAGATTCTAAGATTGTTTTCCTTTCAGTATCTATGACGAGTTCTTGTCTGATCTAGAAGAAGACCCTGAGCTGCGCCGAGGTGTCAACATATATAAGGGTAAGTTTAAATACGAACTACTATCCGAAATTTTAACGATATGGTAAGCAGATCCGCGGAATGCCTGTACATCTGTATCAGAAAATGGGGACAGCGAAGACCGTCCAACGATAGCGTTGCAAGAAATGCTCGAAGATCTGCACATTGAGGACGAGGAAATGGCAGAAGCTTGATTTTTCTTTTACCTCATTGTTACGTTTGTTGGAACAATAATTTCTTTTGCGAGATTTACCCAGCAAATATCTTACTGAGTGCTGGTGCAGTCAGAAATTTACACCGATTCAGTACCAGTGGATGGAGGAAGTCGCCTGATTCTATGCCTAATGACATAAGGGCGGAACAGTTTATTGAAAGCCGAAATTTAGGTCAGCTTCGACATCTGTCATCATTGTAAAAAATATGGGCCTCAAAACGTTTCATTGAAAAATGAAAGTACGAAGCGATTGTCACTATACTGAGGGAACTGGGTGATCGAGTGCTTCAGCTATTGTCGTACAGCACTATTGTCTGCCCCGGAGAAACTTTTTTCCCTGATTATCCGGGAACGGCGGAGGCAAGTATTCGTCCAAGTCAATCAGGTTTCTGATAGTATATTTTTGCCCAGCCAAATTTTCCGTTTCCGTAGGATTGCTTAACAACGCCGACGATTCCAGGTGCCTTGGTTGCCAATTTCCTCGACTTTAAATACGCATTTGATCCACTACATCATCCGACGATGTGGAAATTTTGAAATAAGGTTTTGTTGGATTACTGAGCACGTTACATTAAGAATAATGGTATCAGATTGAAACGGTGAAAAGAAAGGAAAATCCATTTTTTACTTTACATCAGCAGCTCTGTTGTACCGCCCCCTTGCTTCTAGACATCTGAGAGAACCATTTAAGCAGGCCAGGCTCCATGCTATTTATGCACTTGCAATACATATAATGCAGGACCGCGTCTCAAACTGGTTGAGCAAAAGTATATTCAGCCGAAGACCATTGGCACGATCCGTAGGCGAACGAGTTAAATAAGATAACCCCTGATATTCTGGAGGAGCCTTCAATACCACCGTTGAATATATCACAAAATGATACGGGATTGAAATGGCGAAAATGATCCCCTAATCGTCTAGAAACAAAGGGACAGTGCAGTAGAGCTGCTAGTGTAAAGTGAGAAATATCTTTATTTCTTTACATTACGCATTTTCACCATTTTAATCCGGTGTCATTATTTTTAATGTAAAATATTCATTGGCTGTATCGAAAGCTCCGCCAGAACATCGGGGTTATATTTTGTCACTCGTTCACCTACGGATCGTGGCAATGTTCTTTGGTTAAATATGCTTTTGTTCAACCCGTTTGAAACGCAGTCCTGCGTCCTATGCATGGCAGGCGTTTAAATACCATAGAGCCGTGATCTGCTGAAATGGTCATCCTAGGCGTTTAGAAAATAGGAAGCAGTGCAATAGGAGCTGCTGGCGTAAAGTGAAAAATAGATTTTCTTTCTTTACACTGCCTTTTCGCCGTTTCAATCCGGCATCATTTTTAATGTAATATACTCAAAGGCGGTATTGAAAGTTTACCTAGGACATCGGAATTATATTTTGTTACTGAGCACATTGTTTCCATTGTCAAAGAGGTGCGTAGGAACCGCGTTTGCTGTTAAAGTCGAAGGAAAACTAATTTAGATGATATTTTCCTGGTGAGTGGTACCAGCAACAGAGCTTGTCATATAATTTCTTCCATATGTTATCTAGCTGAGAAGGCGGAATCTTCCATAATGCTCGGAAATAAAACGTTGAAGAACCTATCCGGCACATCTAATCTGAAAGTGGAAAAGGGAAGTCGAACGCCGCAGGGACTAATTTCGGAATATCAGCTCTGTTTTCTCCAACAATAACACTATCAG